GAGCAGGGTGAGCAGCCGTGAGAAGGAAAAAAAAAGGAGAGAAAACTGGGAAAGGAGGGGAGCTCGCGCAGCTCCTGTGTTTGAGCACGGGATGGGTGCTGGGGCAGGCAAACAAGTGGGAACAGACGTGTTGATAGACGGGACTGAGAGGTTGTGGAATGTTTTGAAACTGGTGAAGGAGGAATGTCGGACAAAGGTGGGGGAAGTGGGTTCTTCTCCTATGGGACCGGATCGGTGTGTGTGTGCTGTGGAGAGTTTTGGACATTGGAAGTGAGACTGCCCTGGGGAGAGAGTGCCATGGAGTGACTCCGGTGGCTGAACTGAAACTAGACTGACAAGGGACCTGGGGAATCTACCCTAGTAGATCCACTGGTTAAATTAAAACTAGAGACCAGAGGAAATAAAGTGGAATTTTAGTGGATACAGGAGCAACTTATTCGGCGTTAATTCAGAAGGAAAAGAATTTGTTACAGATGTGGGAGCTACTGGCCACCAAGGATAACAAAAAAAAAAAAACAAAAAAAAAACCAAAAAAAAAGGAAAAAAGCAAATTGGAAAAACAAATAAGAATGCACAAAATTTTTATGCATACTAAATTCTTGGAAATCCTTATTAGGACAAGAAGCAACATTTAAAGAAGGCAAAATGGAATTAAAAGAGTTGAGTTTATCTTTAATTCAACAGAAAAAGCGAACAGGAGGACCTCCCTGAAATAGAAGAAATCCTTAATCCAGGTATATCTGGGAATATGGACATCTGAAGTTCCAGGTAAAGCGAAAAATGCTTTACCTGTTAAAGTAGAAATAAAAAGGGGGGCCTGCCCAATTAGAATAAAACAATAGCCCCTAAAATTGCAGGAAAGGGAATGAAAAAATCATTCATAAATTTTAAAATATAAATTCTTAATTGAATGTGAATTGGAATATAATACTCCTATCTTGCCAGTAAAGAAAAGTTGCAGATTGGTTCAAGATCTCAGGAATCAACAAATTTGTAGAGGATATTCAGTAATAGCTAATCCGTATTGACTAAATCAAATAAAAAATGATTTGCCGTCTTGGATTTAAAGTACTCTTTCTTTTGCTTACCATTGGCCAAAGAAAACCAGAACTTATTTGCTTTTGAATGGGAACATCCTGACACAGTAAGGAAAACCCAATTAACTTGGACAGTGTTACCTAAAGGGTTTAAAACAGTCCAACAATTTTTGGAAACCAGTTAGCACGGGAATTAGAGTCATGGAAACCACCCACTCAGACGGGGACTCTGTTACAATATGTGGATGACTTATTAATTGCTACTGAAACAAAGGAAGAATGTATCCAGTGGATGGTGGGATTATTGAATTTTCTGGGACTGAATGGTTATCGGGTAACCAGACAAAAGGCCAAACTAATCCAAACCCGAGTTTCCTACCTAGGATGACAGAGAAAACTTGGAACTGCTAGAAAAGAAGCCATTTGTCAAGCTCCATGACTGTCAACCATCAAGGAGCTCCAGGTTAAAAGAAACCCCTCTCTCTTTGGAATGGACTGATTCAGCAGAGGAGGGCTTTAGAAATTTAAAAGCAGAGCTAATGAGAGCTGCAGCTCTGACTTCTGGATGTGACTAAATCCTTTTGGCTATATTCCTATGAAGAACACGGAATAGCTTTGGTGGTCCTTACTCAGAAACTAGGACCCTGGAAGAGAACAGTGGTGTATTTTTCAAAACAGCTGAATGAAGCAAGCAAAGGATGGCCCGGATGCCTAAGAGCTGTGGCAGCAGTTATCATGAATGTTGAAGAGGCCCGCATGTTTACCTTGGGACAAAAATTACTGTACTAGTGTCCTGTGTTGTATCAGCATTCCTGGAACAGAGAGAAGCCCACTGGTTCAATCCAGCAACTATTAGACCAGATTTGAAAGACTGATTCTAAATAAGCATTTGGTGTGGTCCATGCACATGGTGCCATCTGGAAAGAACGAGGACCTTTGAACACACAGGATAAACAACTACTGAAAGCTGTTCAGCTACCTGAGGAAGTAGCTATTATGTATTGTCAAGGATATCAACAAGGTGAAATTTGGCTGAAACTCATTCCCTTAATCCCTGACGGCAAACTAACAATTGAGAAATCTAAACCTAGAAAATCAAAGGAGGATAGAAAATGTATTGAAGATCTCAGAGGAGGAGAGGAAAACAAAGAAGATTGGGTTCAGATACCTGATGGGCGAATTATAATCCCCTATAACCAACTCTGGACGCTAGCTCAGGAGGAACATAATAAAACTCATTGAGATAGCAAGTCTTTGTATAAATACTTAGATGAACAAATTGAAGGAAAGAATCTATATATCATAGTTCAATTAGACAAATAAATTTTTACCAATATTTGGTGTTAACGAAATACTTTTTTAGGGTGGCCAGAAGCATTCCCTTGTAGGTTTTGGAGTACCAGAGGCACTATCTTCCGACCAAGGCTCGCCCTTTAGTGCAAAATAGTTACAAGGGCAACTACTAAACCTCGGTCGAAAGAAGAGGCTATCCTATGTAAAAATTTTATATGGAAGACCATATCAGTCCCAGTTTAAAGGAGAAAGTCTTCTGGAAGTGGGAGAAGGTTGTCTCCTAAAATTTCTGGTCAATCTGGGAAAACGATTAGAAGAAATAAGAGAATACTAAGGACAAGAGTGAGAGGCATGGATTACCCAACTCACCCTTTTAGATCCAGAGACTGGGTTTATGTTAAGAATTTTTCAGGAGATCCTCTACAGGAGAAGTGGAGCAGACTCTATCAGACAATATTGGCCACCTTTACAGCAGTGAAGATGAAGGAACAACCTGCTTGCAAGAATAAAGAAAGCACCAGAACCAGAGAAGACATGGCGGATTGAACCTTCAGGACCCTCGCATATGAAATTATATCAGCCATAATTTGGATTTATGTGATAACTGACATTCTATTTGGGACTAATACTTATACCTGAAATTAATATAGAATATTACTAAAGTTGTTAATTGTAGTGACTGTTAGGTGTGTGCACAGTTGCCTGAATCAGAAGAAGATCAGGGCCTTCCTGAAACAGATAAGAAATGAAATTTAAATATGTATTACACCAGGAACCAGAATAGGAGACTAAATACCACAGGTGTAAAATATTGATTACTTGTGGTATAACAAAATTTTCTTCCTGGAATTGTAAACGATCTATGATAAACGATGAGAATTGAAAAAGAAATGAAATTTAAGTATCAAATAGAAACAAGAAACTATTTCAAAAAGACTCTAGATGAAAATATGTTGCAAAAGAATTTGCAAAAGGACAGAAAAAAGGGGTATAGACATTTGTGAATACTAACAGACACCTTTTCAGGTTGACCAGAAGCCTTTCAACTAGAAGCACACAAGCCCGGGAGGTAACAAAGATTGTTATAGGATGGTCGTGGGGTTTTCAAAAGTATGTGCTGCATGAACTTATCTGACCATTCTGAATCAATTCATGCTAAACTGCGAAAATTGCAGGAAAATATGCAAGAGCTTAGAATTATTGGAGGCAGACTGGATGAATGGTTAAATAACCTAGGAGTTACTGGATGGTTCAGGGACATAATGAAACAAGGCCTTTTAATCTTGGCTACAGGACTACTCATTTTAATGATTGTACCTTGTATAACACAGTGTATATCAAAATAACTTCATAAATCGATGGAAAATGGATAGCTCTGTCATGCATAATATAGTAAAAGAAATTACTAACTTTATAGAAAAAGGGGGGATTGATGCAGAGAGTTGACCAATGTACAGGGGGGTTGTACAAGGGGGTTAGAGGAATTTGCTTGCTTAAACAAAAGTATTGTCTGTTGTAAACGCCTGCTAAGCAGAACAAAGGCACCTGGTCCTATTGATAAGGAAAAGCAGACACTTGGTCCTATTGATAAGCAGCTATTGATAAGGAAATGCAGACACTTGATCCTATTGATAAGCAGCTATTGATATGGAACTGATAAGGGGGAGAAGCAGATGGTTTATGGCTGGGATAACGACCAAACCCTAAGGCCGTATGTGAAGACTGAAAGGTGAAAAGTGCAAGAAGAGGAAGACTCATTTACTTCATCTTGAAGACCCCTACCCACAGGAGGAAGACTCAGTTACTTCATCTTGAGACCCCTGCCCATGACCAGAGGGGACACTGCACAGGTGCAGAGGACCTTCTGGCTCATCATAATACGAAGCGGGGATAGGACATGAATATGTCTAGGCGTGTTGTGCAACCTTATGAATATATCTAACTTTAGAGAATAAATGTAGAGGGAAACAACACTGAGGTACGCATGACTTTGAGGAATTATCCCCGTGCATCTCAGTGCTGAATAAAAAGCATACCTACTTTACAACTTTAATGAGTTGTGGAGTCAATCCGCTCATCAACGTCAACTTATAGAAATAACAATTTCTTCTCCCGCTCCTACTTGAAGTTACCATGCAGTATTAACCGGATAAGTAGAGATGAAGAAAAGCAACTAAGAGACACCTTAAAGCATACACAGAGCCCCCAGTCATGAGCCTCATTAAATGTTGTTATGCTTTGCCCAGATAAACCTTTCAATAGTTTTAACACATATTGGTCATTCTATTCAAGAAGACTGATAAATACACTATGAAAGCTACTGAAGCTTTAAAAATAAATACAAGATTCAATCAGTGCTCTGCACAGCATTGTCATTATGGTTTATTTCCTATTTAAAGAGGTCACTGAAAAACCACAAGCAGTTGAAAAGACTCCTGAAACTTCTCCTACAGAGCAAGCACACACATCTGGATATGCTCTTATACTTCAGCTCTTTTGGTATTCTTCAGAATAACTTAAATGATAGCCAGCATGGAAATGTTATATCCTGACAAAGTAACTGCATGTTTAATGACTAAGAATAAATAAAAAAGAAAGGCACAGAGAGAGCAATACTTAAGCAATCAACATTTTCATGAGATAAACACATATGAAAGCTAGTACCATTACCTGGAATATTATATTGATAGTAATCAGGATCATCTGGTTCCTCCTTCACTGTTACTGTTGACATTTCCAGAGAAATTCCTGTAGAAGCAAGAAAGGAATCAAATATGGAAACTAATTATAACCAGGTTCTTAAAAAACGAACAAAACACCCACCAAGATCCTACCTGGTCTCTATTCAAAAAAAAGAAAAGAAAAGTAAAGATCAGGTGCTGAGACACCAAACAACTGTTGAGCTAAACCAAAGGTGACCAAGTGACCTGCTGGTTTATTATGTTTCAGTTTGGTCACTGTCAAACGGATTCAGGATTAAATGCTTCCGTACAAAGTAGGAATCCTTGCAAATGCTATCTCTGATCAGATATGTTTTATCACTTGTGCTAAAAGTACTTGTAGACCTAACTCCTGCTCACTCCTCTCCACAGCCAAGTTGGGATACATCCTGCCTCAAACTGTGCTGCTGATGAAGCAACACCAAAAGTGCTCAACTGCTCTTGGCTTCCTTCAAGTGAAGCATCCCCTCCATAAGCCTTCACAACGCTTTTAAAACATTCCAACAAAAGGAGAATTACTTAAAATGCCCGGAAGCAGCACTGGAAAGAGTCTGGGACTGCCTTGACAAAAGGCTCAAGTTAACTCTTTGTGTATGCTGAGCATGTTAACCATGGAGGTTTCCCAAATCACAAGTTTAAGTTGTGAAGCACAAAGAAGCAAAGAAATGGACTAAACATAAAAACTTCATTCTTATACAAAACACTGGGCAGTATGGCCTGACCCAACAAAAGGGAAAGTCACCAGCTTATCTCAAAGCACACCTGTGTCTCTTTGGCTTTAATGGGATTATTCACACCCTTACCTCAAAGCAGACACTTAAGCATTGCTCCACTGTGGATGACAATGCCTGCAGGATCACGTCTTAACTGCAGGAAACTTAGGAATGCTTGGGCTTTTCTCAAGAAAAACTAACCTGGTTTGCTATCTCTCTTATTTGTTCATTTCCCTTTTAGAAAGAAAAAGGGAAATTCTGTAATTTTCAACATTTTAGTAATATTAACTAAACCAAGTTTTTATCTCCCAATTAGGGACAAAGTAATCTTGAATTAGAACAAAGTAAAACCTGTGATTTCCTTCTTCTCCAGTTTAAACTATTTACAAAGATAAATTGGTTTAGTCCACAAAATTTTACAGATCTCCCCCTTCTAGAAATGGAAACATTTGGCCAAGGCTCAATGCTTGATAAAACTCCAACTGAAAAGTGGACAATTTTAAGGAAAGCTTTTCCTTCCCACAAATGATGGCTCTTTGCTGCTCTTTTCTTAAAGCTTCCTATACTTGCTTAACTTCAGCCTTCTGAACAGAAACTGACCATTTTTTGGAAAACAAGAGCAAATTGTTGAACATACCTGAGTCCTCGTTTGGTTCTGTCTTCACTTTAACAGGAGTACAACTAAAAAAAATACACAAAGCAAGCACACTGACATTATAAAAACATTCTGGGAAGTTCCTCAAGCTTTACAGGTTGTCAAGTAAAATCAATCTCCCAGTATTTTTTTTTTTCCAACTAGGAACACAAAAGTAAGAAATCCTGCATTTTGGCTTATCTGATTTATCTCAAGGGAATTGTCCCAGAAATGCAGGGATAGGACATTCCTGGCATATACGATATTCAAAGCACATTTACCATTTAATGAGAAGCAAACTCAGCAGCAGAGCAAACTGATCCCTGTTTTCACATTAACTGATTTTTTATTTATTTCAGACATAATCTACCCATTTACTAACAAAAAAATTATTTTACGGCTTTTCTTTTACTGAGGAAGAGGAAGGAAACAACATTACATCTGTTCCCCATTGCTGCCATAGCATAAAACATGACAAACTTATCCCTCACTGACAGACTGTGAATTAAGAACACTCACTGGGCTAATTAAACCAAAAGGAAACTTTGCCATCTGTTTAATTTGTAACAGTTTACCCACAAATAATGGTCAAAAGAAAGAGAAAATTCAGATTCATGCTTTTTATAACCCCAGGCAAGCAGAAGTTATCCAAAGGTCAGCTGGACAGAAAAAGCATGTTAAGAGAAAGAAATTGTATGAAAATACATAGCTGATACAAAAAACTTCCATGATTTTAAATTCACCTTCCACCTGGAGGTATAATTGATTGTGACGGATCTGTCATAGCAGCTCCTGAAAGTTAAAAGACAATCTTTGAATTTCCTGCACTCCATTTACCTTAAATACAAATTGAAAATGTAACACTGATTTCATGAAGTGAAAACCTGTTTACACTTCACAAGCGTATCTGCTTCTTTTCTGTATTCACAGATACGAGGGAAGGATCTCGTTAAACTGCTTTATTAATCTATAAAGCAACACCAATATAAAGTTACTTCAAATGTACATTTCATGCTTTTCCCTGCTCCTTTTCATGATGGCAGGTGAAAATTCGGGGAAAAAAGGTAAACAAATCTTTCACCTAAACTGTGCTAAAACAGGTAGTTCAATAGAGATTCAGCATAGCTCTAAATTACAGCTAGACACAAACAGCTCATGCTTCTAGAATGTCATTTAACCCACTGAAAACCTGTCCTGCATTTTTAATAGAAATATAACCAGATTCTCTGTGATTACACACTTTTTATTCTTTTTACTGGGCATAGACAACACATATCTAATTTTACTAATCCAGCATCAGTTTCTGCTTGTGTCTCCCAAGACATTCCTTTTTGACTACATTCCTATTGAGACTCCTTCATCCTCTTCATAAAACAAATTCTTACATGTACAAATTTTGCAAGTAAACAACATGATCCCATGAAAGGAACAGGGATTTCTTCTAAGCTAGGAGTGAATCTTTGTGCAATTTTAAAACACTCTAGCTCAATTTTTCTCATCTATAGAGGCTTTCATAGGAACTACATCACCTAGCTACTTCAGAATATCAGATCAATGTTTAAAATGAGATATAAATGCCAAAATCAGCTCTGCATAGGAACACAGAACACTGCAAAGTCTTGGCATCTTCTAAAAATGCAATACAGTCCTTCATCAGTTCACTTCTTTCCCTAGGATACTATCCAATCCACATAAATTCAAATTCAGTAAAAGAATGAAGAATGCAATAGACAAAGTTTATCTCTAATTAATTGCTCCTGGCAAAACGCATAAAGGAAAAGGTTCTAGTTCCATAAGGAAGGCATTTCACACTCCAGAATTTCTGCACAGCTTGCCACTTTATCCACACAACTAATTCTTGTATCTATACTGCTATCTAACCTAAAATTCTGATTTCTATTTAGTCTGAGTAAGTAATAACTTACCTAGGTGTTTCTCTGGCTCTAGGAAAGGCCTGCGTGGAAATACAGAAAGAAAACCCACAGTTTTAGCAAAGACATCATAACTTACTTGGTAGTGTAAAATTAATGAGAGAGCGCTCCTGTTTAAGAGAAACAAGCTGCAACTTATTTCATTAAAAACTAAAATTAATTGGACTTTAGTACAAAACCAGAATGGACAGACTAGCACAAGATAGAGAAAATAACCTTTTAATGACAAATGAGATCCCTGACTTGTTTTCCAAAATCCATTTGAGGGTTGAAACGTTGTAATTTGCTGGATGTTTAAATGCAAGTCCTTCAGGCAGGCCCTGCACTACCACAGCAGACTGGTCCCTCTGAATCTTCTCATATGGCACAGGTACCACCGTTGACTTTCCTAAAGCTTTACCTAGAGAATAAAAAGAGATTGTACTGAGGTCAAGAGTGTTCAAATTGGGAAAAGGATAAGACCCTCATAAAACTTTTTACTTGGAGAGGTCTGGAGGAAAAGCAAAGTGTAGATGCAAATCTCTACAGGAAACCAAGTACTGCTCACATTAATATGCACTGGAACCCACTACGATAGAGGCTTTCCTGAAAGGAAATTTAATGGGTTGTACAATACCTTCACATCTCACCATGCAAACCACATCAAGAAAATTATGCAATGTATTGGTATGTTTTAGAATAGGGTACTAAAAGTTACAACTACCACCTTAACAGCACTGTAGTTGGAAGGCTAAGACCATGCAGTACTTTCCTCCCAACCGGAATAAAAGTTAGAAATCCAGGACATCTGTTTGGAAGACTCTGAAGCACCCACCATAGCAAAGGCAGAAAAAGTCCTCCACAGACTTCCTGAGAGCTTCGAGTTCCACAGTATCCACTGGCAGTCTATTTATAGGTGGTATAGTCTTTGTTTCCTGCAGTTCTGCAGCCCTCTCCTCTTCTGTAACACCTAGCAGTTAGTTATAAAAATAAGACAAAAATAAAGTAAGTTATTAAACCTCCCAGTACCCAGTCCCTCCAGTTTAGAGTAGTAACACTAGGGCAGGATCCCTGCCAAAAAAATCATAAGAAATCACTCGTCTTAGAAGCAAATGCACTTATATCTGTACATGAACAATGAATAAATTAAAATTTACCCTAAAATCATTACATCCTCCTTACAGCCTTCAGAAATATCACCCTCTGAGGTATAAGAATGATGAATTAAGAGACATCCAAGCAGGGATTTTTTGGGGCATGAAGAGGTAGCAAACTATTAATTTCAGTATAAATAAAATGCAAAGCTGCCAAGAGAAGTAGGACTAACACAATCACCAGGGAAAAGGTTAAAATGCCTGCATAGAGGGTTCCATAGCTCTAAAGTGCTACCCATGATGCCCTATGGCAGCATGTTACGTTACATCCTGGTTTGTTTATGCTGTATGTGCTTAGCTGAGAAGGAATCTGACTTGTCATAACAACTCCTACCTTTCAAAGACATTTCAAATACACATCTCATTAGTGAATAGGAGAAGTTGTAAACAAGACACCAGCACACAGAACAAAGATTTCAGCCCTAGACCTTGTTATAGTCTCTGAGCAAAAGTCATTGCCAAAAGACCGATGGAGTAACACTTTCAGTATTTAAAAGCAAATGGAAGTGATCTTTTCAGGTGGCAGCCTTCCTTTCTTACCACTCAGTTCTTGCCAAGATTTACTGTGAATCACCCAGCAAAAATAGGGGAAAACAACAGACACTCTCCATATGAAAGAAAAAGCATGGGAGATCTGTGTTCCTATGTGCAAGAGGATGATCGGTGCTGAAGCTGTGTCATGACTTAACCGTGAGCAGTCACAGCAGTACAGCTGAAACACTGCTTTGCACTGCCAGTATTGTCACTTTACACTAACACAAGAAAACAAACATCTGTTTAAACAACTGATTATAAATGAGTTGTGAAATGAGCTGAAACACCACTGCTTTTACTAAAGACATTTATAATCTTAAAAACTGGGATTTTTATGCTTAAAAAAGAATCTCTCTTTCGCTCTACAAATCACATGTCTGCTTCCTGCACTAGAATCCAACCTCCACACAACATTCAGCTCTCCAGCTCTTCAGGCCTGACACTTTTGCTTCCTCTGCAATCTGACAGGGCGTACCATAACAAAAACAATACTGCAAAACTGGAATGTTATTATACACCTATAACACAGGTGTATAATTAATGACAGCTTATAAAGTTTGCCTGAAGACCTGGGGATAAGAGACATCAGTTTCCATTCATACCCACATGCAATGTTGCTTTTTGGGTGGGGGTTTTTTTCTACCTATGAGACCGATTCATTGAAAACGCCTTTACTGACTGTAGCTTCTCAAAAGCATACCCACACTTTCTAAATATAAGCAAAACAAAAATGATGACACTGCTCACTTCCCATTAAAATGAGAACTAGACAAAAAGACATTGAAATTTTCCTTCTTAACTCTTATCGTTGGGTTTCATTACATGTTTTGAACCCATTTTCTTAAGCTCACATCATGCATCCACCTCCCTAATCTCTCCCACTTTTGACGGAATTTCTGACAAACAAGACTAAGTCTCAAACACAGTAAGATTTATGAGAGCTCTGCAAAACTGATCAGACCCAGCAGCCATTCATCTCCTGTGGCAGCATCAATGGACACATCTCCACTTGCTGGAGCTTACAAACCTTAAAGGTTCTGACCAAGCCCTTGCCACAACTACCAGAGCACCCAGGAGGATTCAGGCTATATTTGGGAGGGAATGCCTGGGACATGTGCAATAAGACCTGTTGGGAAAGAGGGATGGGGGCTGTTTTTACAAGGTAAATAGCTCAGGAAGGGTAAGGAATGTTTATATCAGAAAAGAATTGCTTTCTACACAGCTGAGAGCATACTGCAGGATTAGACCTGTTACTCTGCAAAAGCTATTCCAGATTCAGCATGGTTAAAGATGACCCAGCTCCTAACAACAATCTTCATTTTGCACTCAAGAGTCCATATATGATTCAGTGCCTCTTACCTTCTTGTACCATCCATGTTTTGGTTATTCAGAACACCCTTCCCTCTTATCTACCCTGATCAGCAGCAGACCGGGTTTGACAGCCCAGCCTACCACTTGGCTGGAAACGGAATCTCCCAGCTACCACCATCCTTATATAAAATGGAAATACTATAAAATGAATAGGCTGCTTTAAAGTAAAAGTGCCTCTTACAAAAATTCTTATGACTGAACAAAAAAGGAAATACCTGAAATGATCAAATTTGAACTTGGCAATTTTTTCCTGTGGTATGGCAGCAATTAGATAGCTACACCCTGACCTCCAGAGGGGTAGACAGTATAGCTTCCTGCTTTAAATAGATGCTGTTATGCTTATAAAATGATAAAAGAGTGTTACAGCTCAGCAGTGTTATACAACATGTATTCTAAAGCATGGCCTAAGTGCTATTTTGGCAGACTAGAGGCCATAAAGCACATCTGTATTCACAGGACCCGACCCAGAGGTGAGAGGAATGCCGCTGCATGGAGGAGGCAGACAATTGACAAAATCAGCACTATCTGCATGTCACCAAAGAGTAAGACACAAAAATCAAGCTTTAGCAGAGACACAGTTTACTTGAGTGAAATTTCCTCCAAAATGTCACTTGAAGAGGAGATGCTACACAAACAACAACAGAGAAAGCTGGTAGGATTCAGTATCTGAAGGTGATGGAGCTCAACACTCCTCTAGCAGAAGAGCTGTCAGTGCCACGGTACATACGGCATGTTAAAACATCAGGTTGTTAATCAGGTGGTTTGGCTTTTAATCCCCCAGGTGGAGAAAGCCACGAAGTGATTGTAAGAGTATGAATGTCACCCCTGTGCAGACACTCTGAGAGGCAACTTAAGGGCAACAATTATTTTGTGACACCACTCATGTACCTACATTTTACCATTTGTGCTTAAGGAAAATTACTCTGTGAAAATAACTATGAGCAATGAAAGAGGGAAAGTAAACGTGTGTAGCTAAAAGCTGTTTGATTTGTTTTGCAATGCATCCACCCAGTTCATCTGTGAGCTTTTTAAGGCCATCCAGTTCTGCAGTTCAGGAAATTAGACAATAACTTAAAATTAAAGAGAAATCATTTCAGGATTATCAAAGGATCACTTAAACCACAAGAAAAGCAAATCACCTGAGGCAGAATTTAGAAACCAGGGAATTTCAAACAGATCAGCTATCTACTGTAATTTTCTGTCTGTTTTCAACTCTGATGAGACGAGATGGGTGGTCTCCACTGAAATGTGACTGAACTTACTAAGAAAGTTTTTTAAACTAGCTCTTAGCAGGATGGAAGCAAAGGAAGCACCCCTGAGGAAGAGAGGCATAAAGTGAGCTTCTAAAACACTTTAAAAATAACTTGTGTCTAATTGTGTAACAGAGGTTTTGAAAATGAATCTTTCTTTTCATTTTGAGAACTTGGGAAAAGGAAGAATAATAGTAGAAAAGCAAAGGATGAGTATAGCAGGCCACAAGGTAAAGCTAAACGACATTTCCAAGTCTTTCATGAAGATCTAGGCTGTTAATGTGGGGTTCAGCTAATGAACATGTGTTTGAGAATACATATAAATACATAATATTCATATATATATACATATGAATACATAATGAACACATGTGAGAAATGCAACATGGGACAGCTCAAACCCTACATTATTTGCATTTCAAAAGGTCAGGCAGAAGAGGACTGGTAAGATGGACTATTTAAGTGAGCTCAGATGGAAACAGCAATGGCAAACAAAGAAGCAGCTCTTATAGCAAGACAGACAGGGATGATTGCTCTGGGTTTTAGAGTTATTACTTGTAACTGCAACCGCTGGGCAAGTGCTAGGAATGTTATCTTTGAACTAATTCCTATGCATGTGATTTATCAAGAATAAACTGATCACGTCTTCAAAGGTAGATGCTTTAACTCATAACTACATTCTGCAAATACAAAATAGACAGTGACTGAAACCAAAATGTTAAATCAAAAAAGCTTTTCGCAATGCCAAGAATGAACACACTAGGTACTTTATCAAGCAGTTACAACCACAACAGATAAACTCCCCCAAAAGCTAGAGGTGGGGCAGAAACAGATGCAAAATATGAACTAGTGCTTCCAATAAACAGAGTACAGTGTAAATACTTCAAGAGACTGAGAAAGCAGAAGCCCAGAGTGCTGGGGGCAGTCACAATGTATGTAGCAAAGTGTCCTCGCTTGCTAGGAAGCACATCTGAAGCTTCATGCTTTTTATTAAATAAACAAAGATATTCCATAAATTTTAGCAATCAGAACACTACGAGCATCTTTGTAGCATCCTTGGAGATGGGGACTCCCAGAACCAACTCACAATGCAAGGTTTTACAGTGGCGCAGGGGTCTGGGCCCAACTGCAGAAGACCATTTTGCACAGAGGGCTGCAGAACAGGAAAGGAGATACACAAGAAGCCAGCTGTTGCCATGTCCACAACTCTCCCAAGCAAAAATGTTATAAAACTGTTGCTTAATTAAGCCCAAGCAGAGCCAGACAGGTAATCATTAACACCTCACTGAACAGGCATGATGCAACCTGGCTCACAGAATGCACTCATGTGATCCCTTCCACTAGCAGAGAGGCAAGGTCTTAACTCCCAAGTGACAGACACAGGAGTTAAAACCTTGTTAAACATCATGTTTGCCGGCATAATTAGTCTGAGAAAAGGTGATGGGCTACAGTCAGTGGAGCCAGCAGCAACCTCTTCTGTTCTTACAATATGGAGAAGTACAAGATATTCCAAGTCATCTGCACAAAAAGGGAGGTGAAAACTCAGAAACATAACTGAGAGCCACAGCTGAGCTAGTTCCCATGAAGGTGACTAGGAAGAACCTGTTCCAGCAGATACTGAAACAGAATTTAGCAGAGGTTGTTTCAAAGAGGCCGCTGCC